AGCAACCCAACTCTTCCTCACTCCCACCGTGCCCACGCCGTACAACCAGGCCGTACAACCAGGCCGTACAACCAGGGAGGTAGCCACAGGAAAGTACACAGGAAAGTAGCCACAGAGCCATAGAACCACAGAACCATGGAAACTGGAATGAGATAGAGAGAACCGATAAGGCAACGGAGCTACAGGAGCACCACAGAACCATAGGACAGAAACAAGGGACCACAGGAGGACCACAGGACCATAGGAGAGAAACAAGGCACCGCACGAGCGCCACAGGACCATAGGACAGCAACAAGGGACCACAGGAGCACCGCAGGAACATAGAACAGAGGAGGAGGGACACACAGGAGCACTACACGACCGAAGGACAGCAACAAGGGACCACAGGAGCACCAGAGACCATAGAAAAGAGACTACTGTCTTAACCCCCAAAAAACGTACGTACGCCGTACGGTCTATTTCAGCTTACCTTGAAAAAATGGGCTTTCTGAAATCACAGAGTTTTTGCCGAATAGAACGTACCGTCGAATATAACGTGCGGACGTTATTTTCGAATACGTTGTGTTCGAATTTATGCTTCTTTTTTTTTTTAATCAGAAAACTCTGGAAAAAAAAAACGAAACTTGTACAACATTGCAATACAAGCAACTTTTGCCTGAAGGTCATGTCCAAGTTCACAAACGAATTTGAGAAGAAAAATAAGAACAAGAATAAAAATAACTTTTGACAGCACTATGTTGTACGAAATTACAATGCAAACAACTTTTGCCTGAGGGTCTTGGCAAAATTCCCAACCAAATTCGAGAAAAAAATTAAAAACTATGTCTGCTACTACAAGCTCCTGCAAAGTTGTATGGTACAAAAAAACAAACAAAAAAAAAAAGTAAAAAAAAAAAGTTGTATGGTACGGTCATACCACGGCTAATGCGCCCGATCCCATCCGAACTCGGAAGCCAAGCGCCGTTGGGMCGGAATAGTACTGGGATGGGTGACCTCCTGGGAAGTCCCGGTGCTGTACCTACCTACAGCCAAGGGCTCCTGCAAAGTTGTACCCTAAAACTCGTCTTACAACGTACCCCGTACGTTGTATTCATAATTTCGTATACAACGTACGTACATTTTTTTCGGGTTAAGACAGTAGGGAGGGACCACTAGATGACCATAGCACAGAAACACGGGACCACAGCACCATCACAGGACCATAGGACAGAATCAAGGGACCACACAGCTATAGGGAGGGACCACAGGGCCACCACAGTGTGGCAGAATGACAGAACAGAAGCAATGAAACAACTCAAGGCCACAGGAATACAGAGTCAGGGGGAACCCAAAATCATTCAGGAAATGGAACAAGAATAAGGAGGAGGAGGAGGGAACCGACAACCGAAAAAGTAAAGAACGGAAGACTGAAAAAGCGCTCAACCGAATAGTGAACTACAAGCCAAAGAACAAACAAAGTAAATAACAAAAGAATGAGCGCACAGCAAACCAAGCGTTGTACTACCAGTTCATCGCAAAAAGCCACAGGTCCAAAAATTCTAAGTTCAAACCCACAATTTGGCTGGTGTGCGAACGAAGCCAAGGACGGGTACAAAGAGGCGCAAACGCGTCCAGCACCTTCTGCGTGCAATCGATAGGCAGGGAAGGAAACACACTCATCAAGGCTCCCTATTACACACACACACACACACACACAGGGGAGAGCGAGAGACCGAGAGAGCGCACGCGCGCGCGCGCTCGAGAGAGAGAGAGAGAGAGAGAGAGAGAGAGAGAGAGAGAGAGAGAGAGAGGGGCAAAAAGAACAATGACGGGGAAAACTGATGCCAGACATTAACTTACCGCTTCGTCGCTTGTTACGAGTGCAGCTGCGAAGTTGGTCGGAACAATTCCCGGGGCAACACAGTTCACGCGCACCTCCGGCGCCAGTTCTGTCGCGAGGCCCTAATGTCAGGATCAGTCAGGATCAGAAACGGTGTAACAGATCAGAGACAGCACAGATCAGAACCATGTTAGGCGACAGAATCCTCTAGGACTGCCAGTTGGTACACAGGCGAGTTCCGGCCTGTGTACCAACTGGCACCGTTTCTCAACCAACCCATGAAGACAAGTCTTTCCTGTCAAAATTCTCTAGGACCTTCCTCGCCAGAGTTGGGCCAGAAAACAATGGAGCAAGTACGCCCCTTAAGCACGTTAGGGGTTCGAAGGAAGGTCGCACCGTTGCATCGCAAATTGTAAGGTTATTTGCTTGGTGACCCCGGGAAGGGTCACCGGACTTTGCGGTGGTGGTCCCGGGAACCCCCCCCCATCTAGTGATCCCTGGCTTGTGATCAACCCCCCCCCCAGGGGGGAAAGGGATGATGGGCCTCTGTCAAGAGAGCTTAGTTCATTCAACTTGATTGGATGCCCTATGCTACAAAGCCTGGCCAGCTCCCAAAAGAAACTAGGACGGAAAAGGGGGGTTGTGGGAGGGGGGGGGGGGGGGGGGGGGGGGGGGGGGGGGGGGGGGGGGGGGGGGGGGGGGGGGGGGGGGGGGGGGGGGGGGGGTGTTACCCAGCCCATGTGGCTGAAAGGTACACCCATCAACTGTCAATAAAAGTCAGATGCCTGGGGTAGGTCAGTTTGATTATGACATCTCAAGGTCGTCGCACTTCTCAAAAGAAGAAGAAAAAAACAAAGAGGACGGAAGAGGGGTGAAATAGAAACATTCCCCCCCCCTAAAAAAAGAAAAACAAAAACGGTAATCCCCCGGGATGGGGGGATGGGGGGATGGGGGGATGGAGGGGGGTTTGGTCACTAGGGGATGGTCATTACAAAGGGGGCTGTGATGGTTAACAAGCTGTGCAACTAGGGGATGGAGGGGGGGGGGGTTCACTAGGGGATGTGCTGGAGGGAGGGGGCAGGGGTTGCTTAGGGGGAAGGGGTTGGATGGAGGCTGGGGTCACCAGAGGGAAGAGGGGTTGAGATCAGATTTCGCAGCCTAAGGTTCCCTCAGGGCTCGGCGATTCCTGCTGGGGCATCAATTGGCTGGGGATGACCTCCGTGATTGACAATTGAACCACCAGAGTACGTTTCCCACCCATTTTGCAGAAACCTGCCGTGCACGCTGGCGCATCGGGTAGGATGCACCAAGGTGCTGTTTCGCCCGACGGATTTCGGGCGACATCCATCGGGCACGGCAGGTTTCTGCAACAGAATGGGTGAAACAGAAATGGGTGCATCCTGCCCATTTTGCCTGGATGGATCCTGCCCATTTTGCCCGGTTGCATGCGAGACCCGATTCTGCCACATCGGGCGGGCGAAACCCGCCATGACGCTGGCGCATCAGGCAGGATGTGTCTGGGTGCTGTTTCGCCCGAAAGTTCCAAAATCCATCCAGGCAAATAGGGGCCTTGCATGCAACCCATTTAGCCTGGACAGATTTCGGCCGAAACGTCACCCCGGTGCATCCCACCCGACGTGCCAGCATGCAGGCCGCGTTTCTGCAAAATGGCTGGGTGGGAAACGTACTGGTGGTTTGACAAATTGACTCAGGGCTCGGCCATTCCTGCCGCGGGGGATGACCATCCGTGATTGCCGATTAATGATCGACTTCATCCCAGGGCTGGGCCACAGCCTGGCCAGTGCTGCCTGGTTGTGCAAGGCCAGGGGCAAATCCGGTTGCGTAAAAAGTAGGCCTCTCTTTTTTTTTTTTTTTGGGGGGGGGGGGGGGGGGGGGGGAACCAGGGTCCCACTGCAATTACCGATAGCAGTAAAAATCCGCATTAAAACGTTTGAAGCAGGAACTTGTTTTGGGGGGTGGGGTGGGGTGAGCGGAAGGTGTCGGGGGTTGAAGGAGGGAGGGGGGTGGTTGGGCGTTGCAGATTAGCATTGTGGGGCGAGGTCGGACAGTGAAGACGAAAAAAGAAGAAGACGAAAAAGACGAAGAAGACGAAGAAGAAGAAGAAGAAGAAGAAGAAGAAGAAGAAGAACAAGAAGAAGAACAAGAACAAGAACAAGAAAGGAAGAAGAAGAAGAAGAAGGTTTGGTGGAGGAGCTCGATAGGCTGAAGTTGGCAGTAGTGTAGGCAGTGATACCTGGGTTGGAACCACTACCCTGTTGTTGTATTTTGATTGGATTAAGGCAAGAAGAGGGCTTTCACGCATCAAGAGGCCAGCGTTGTGTGTGTTCTTGTATTGCTGTGATCGGGTCCTTCTCAGTTTTTGCCCTGAATTTGGTCCACCATGCTGATCAGTTGCAGTTGTTTGCTATGACCCTGCTGAATTCATAATCCAACACTCAACTTCAAGTCAACTGCACTGCATACATTGCAACTCAAGAAGAAGTGGAATTAGACAAGGAGAGAAGAAGACCGAAGAAAGCATGAAGAAGAACGAAGAAAGCACGAAGAAGCATGAAGAAAGAAAGAAGAAGCATGAAGAAAGGACGAACAAGGAGAAGAAGAAGAATACAAGATCGAACCAACGTTATCTCCCTGCTCTCACCATCATAATCTGCCCCACATAAGTGCCACCCCCCTCTTACCATAAGAAATAAATGAGCGAACAACAATCAATGTCCAAATGATCCCCCTTACAGCCAGCACTAGAGAGAACAACAGCTCTCTCCTCTTCTCCTTGACGGTAGCACACGCTGCCCAACCGGATATGGCAGTTCACCCTTACCGAGCACAGACGTCAGAGGGTAATGCACTACTACCATGCCTATCCCATCTTCTACAGCCATAGCCACACGCCCGAGTCATGTCCATGTCCAACCGAGACCCCAGCCGCGGCCTTCTAGATGCAGTGTTAACCAGAGAGGTGCAGAGGAAGGTTCACCATAGCCAAAGGGGAGAATCTCTCTGTCGGTTCCCTCCTGCTTTCGTTTCCACCACCCCAACTTTTCCCCTCCTAGCTTGAGGTCCTTTTCCCTCTACCCTCTACCTCCATAGCCATGGAGGTCTTCTCCCTCCTCCTACTACTCATCTTCCCTAGCCATGGAGGTCTTTTTCCTCACCTTCAACTCCCTCAGCCCAGTGCTTCTCCCCCCCTTCCGTACCTCAGGGCGGAGCAGCCGCATGACTACTGAGTGAATACCCAGACTACTCGTTGCAAAAATGATATACTCTTTTACCTCCCCCGCCTCTTGGCTCCTCACTCAGCCTCGATCCTACCTGCTCAACCCGTACCTAGACCTTATCCAGACTACATACAGACCGGGCGTGCCACCCAGTCTACCGGTTCCTTCCGCTTGGCAGGAACATCATTGCCGACTGTGATCCTACCTGCTCAACCCGTACCTAGACCGTATCCAGACTACAAACAGACAGGTATCATCACTACTCTTACCTGCTAGCCTACCTGTACCATCATGCCTCCACCTGCTAGCCTTCCGGACATTCGGCCCTACCCAAGTTACTGGAATACCCCTATCAGGTCCCCCTCACAAATTCTACTATTGTCCCTGCCCATTGTACAAGTTCAGTAAGCCCGTTCGTCATCCAAATTCCAGTCCTACCCCTTTAACTACACCTATTCTACGTTCTATCCCTCCAGGACGTGGAAACACAGCACGAGAACGGCGTTGGCACACGGACTCAGTAAGCATCAGATAGACTCACGCAGACAACAAAGCGAAAGAGACCCACCCGTCACTTGGAAATCAACGGCAAATCAGGCTACCAAAGAGAGCATTTTCTCAGAAAAATGCAGACATCTCAGACTGCAACTGTGTGGGTCATTACAATATGTGCATTCTTATTCTTAATTTCTTAGTCTTATAAGACTCTTATTATTATTATTATTATTATTATTTTTTTTTATTACTGAATTTGGACCATTTCTTGATTCATGTGTGTCATCCTTGCATAGCGGTCACGCTAATCTTCTCTGCGCCTTTTCAATTTTACCGAACATCTCGAAAGGACTGTTGATGGTAGTTATTACTACCTCAAAAAAAAACACTTTTTCACTTTAAGTAGTTTATTATGATATAAAAATAGGGCACATGCTTTAGACAATGTTATGGAATATAGCCTCACAGCCTTCTAGTCTTCTAGGCTACACAGCTCAATACCTTCGTGAGCCCCAGCAAAGCAGTCTTCGTGATTGCATACGTTGCTATTGGCGGAGCGGGATCAAACGCCGATATAGATGAAATGAAAATTACAGATCCGCAACCTGGAGATATGTGAGCAGCTGCATCCTGAAGGAGCACGCACACACACACACACACACACACACAGATGAAAAAGAATCAAAAGATGCATTATTCAATGATCTGGGTCATGCAGCAGAACAGACCAGCATTGGCACAGAAGAATTCCAGACTGGATGCGGTTCAGAAAAAAAGCGAAGTCTGTTTACTAGTAACCCTATTACACCCCTAATATATGCATAGCGGATGCATACATCGGTGATGAAAGCTGAGGACGCTTGGGCCAAGGATGTATCAAGCAAGGGCAAATGGAACAATGACTGTTGGAGGCCTAGTGACCATGCACTGATAAGTAACGACCCAAACGCATCATACACATGGAGAGGCCAGAGGGATGCACGTCAGGCAACACTCGCAGGAAGAGCGACATACATGGTCGAACTCCTACCCAGCCAATCATCGATGGAGAGTGTCGAAAGAGGAGGAGGAGGAGGAGGAAGAAGAAGAAGAAGAAGAAGAAGAAGAAGAAGAAGAAGAAGAAGAAGAAGAAGAAGAAGAAGAAGAAGAACAAGACGAAGAAAACGAAGCAGAAGAAGAAGAAGAGGAGGAGGAGGCGGAGGAACTCAATCCAGAACCCAGAAATATGTCCACTCACTGTCTCCCATGAGTCACAACTCCAACATCATGTTTACCTCCCAGCAAAATGCTGGGTAATCGCTTCTCTCTCTCTCTCTCTCTCTCTCTCTCTCTCTCTCTCTCTCTCTCTCTCTCTCTCTC